CGCGCACCCGCCCCATCCCCCTCTCATTGTCTCGCCTCGTAACGCCTCGCCGAGCGAAAAGATAACGGAACCCCCGGGAAAAGGGGGTGGGGAGAGCGGAGGCTCGCTCGCTCACTCACCTCCCGTGGTCGTCGCCGCCGGTAGTCTGACCCGAGGAAGGCGCCGTCGCCTTAAAGGGACCTTGCACCCGGCGCCGGGAGAGGGGGTGGGAACAGGGGAGGGGACGGGGGCTTGGGGGGAGACGAAGCAGAGGCAACCGTTGGAAGCTCGTCTCCCCGAGGGTGAAAGGAAGCCTCCCTCGGGTTCGAGTGATTTGGGGTGGTTTTTTTTCCCGAGGGGGGCGGGGGGGCCCCGAGGGAGGGGGGGGGGGGGGGCCAAGGAATGCGGCTCCGTGTACGGGAGCTGGCGCGGGGGAGAGAGACGCCGACTCCCCCCACCGACCCTCTCGCCCCGCGGAGGGATATGGCTCGTCACTTCCGCCCTCCCCCTTTCGTGGCCTTTTGATTGGTTGGAGCGCGTGACACGTCATGGGCTCATCCTAACCCCTGCCCGGGCTTCTTTTCTAGTCAAGTTTGTTTGGGCCTGCAAATAAATAAATAAATAAATCCTAAATGGAAAAAATAATATTTAGCTTCAGAAGCAATATGTAAATTTTGATGAGAAAAATGGCATTTCCAAAGAAAATAGTTCCCAATATACTTGACTTGATTTTTCCAGGGGAATTTTGGGAGTCTCCCTACTTTCCACTCAAGGCTTACACCCAAACAAGAGAACTTAATGTCACAGGCCTGATGATGAGGCCCTGTAAAACCAATTGTCATTGGAACAAGCAACGAGCAAGATCCCACTCGCTCTTCTTCGAGGGTCACTTGGCCAAGTAGCCTTGTGGCAGTGGTCTTAAGTGAAGAACTTAGTAAAACCATATTTACCCTCAAACCCTTCGTTGATTCTAGGAAGACTTTGCACATGATTCCTTTTCAAGATGCTTGTTGGGAGTGGGGATGTACAGTAGTTTACTGGTAGTGTGTGTAGCTAGGGAACCCTTGAGTTCATTTCCTAGCACCAAAAAAAAAAGGGGGGGGCGTTGTAATAAGAACTGCTTTGAGACCGTTGTGAATACCACATGCCTGTGTTGTTTGATTCGGTCAAGGCTGATGAGATGTATTGCCCCAAAGAAATTGATTAGTTAATTATAGACTGTCCACCCGTTAGCTCTCCACACAAAAACTAATCTCTAGATAGCTAAGAAATTTTGCTCTTTATTGTCTCTTGAGATGATAAATTGTTAATATTTTTCATGGGATATTTGCTCTAAATCAAATTCTAAATCAAGCTACTGTACATGGTGCAAGAATAGGGAGATCAGCACCATATTTATTCTCTTCACACCACCAGTCTAAGACAACAGACATTCCAAATGTACTCGTGTGTGTGTGTGTGTGTGTGTGTGTGTGTGTGTGTGTGCGCACATACACACATCACCACCTATTTTCGTTCTTTTTTTATCCCAGAGACATGAAAGTGCTTCCAACTAGTCAGTCTTAGAGATATCTTCATTATTTTAATCTAAAGAATCACTTCTCTTTCTGAAAATACTTCTAAAGTTTTTCTGAAAAAACCCATAGTAGGATTATGGAATCACCAAAAGACAAAGTCTTGGCAAAACTTTAATCTTATTTTATGCTGTCCTGGCAGTGATTATTATAATTTATTATGTTTTTATATATAGTTATGCATGTTACATATGTTATTTACCGCAGAAAGATCCCACATATTTTCCCATGCTGTAATATGCAGATTTATGCTCTCAGCCAATGAGGTCTAGCCCAGCATACTGTGCCATGTTCTGTTGAACAAACACCATCAGCACATCGCGCTGAAAATACATTATGCATTCATTCAACATTTATTGAGTATTTGTATACCAGGTACTGTTCTAGGTGCTGGGAATACAGAAACAAAGAAATAAGAATCCCTGAACTCAAAAGGGAAAGAGACAGAGAATATACACAGAAATAAACTGCTCTACTATCTATTGTTAAATAACAAACAGCTCCTAAATTCATTGGCTGTAAACAATTTCATTATCTGTCTTGATTTGGGAGGTGATAGGGCTAAGCTAAAGGGTTCTCTTTTGCAGTCTTTGATGCAGTGGATGGACTGATTTACCTCAAAAACTTCCTTATGTGTCTAGTAGATGTTAAGTGTTGGCTTGGGCCACAGCCCTGGAGCTGTTGGCAAGAATATTTACAAGTGGCTTCTCCATGTGACCTGTGCTTCCGCACATCAGTGGTGAGTTCCCCAAGAAGACCATCAGAGATTTATGGCTTTTTGTGACCCAGCCTCATAGGTCGCATAGCATCCTTTCCACCACAGTTACAGGCCTGCTTTGTTCAGGGAGGTGGGGAGTGTAGACCCCACACACGCGAAGGAGTAGTGAACATATCACGTTGTAAGAAAAACATGCAGAATGGAACATCTATCTACAACCTGGAAAATGCATTCTGCCACATGTTATGTAGATAAATATGTATGTCATGTGGTGATAGGTGCTACGGAGAGGGAAAGGGTAGGATAGACGAATTGGGACCTGGTTTGGGGAAAGAGTGGGGAGGTGCTATTTTACTTGGAGAGGTTAAATACAACCTCATCATTCAGGTGACATTTTGACAAAAACTGGAAGAAAGTGGAAATAAAACCACTGGAGGATTTTGAACTAGAGTGGTGACCTGACCTTTTCAAGATTATTCAGACTTCTTTCCGAGAATGACTGATGTAGGCAAGGGCAGATGCCGAGAGACCCCTCAGGACACCATTGCAATGATCCAGATAAGATGACCACAACCTGACCCAGGGTGGGAGTGATGAAGCTGCTACTTTAGTTTTCTTCTTTTTCTCCTTTTTTGAGGGGGGAGGGGGGAGCGGTTAAAACAGAGTCTCACTATGTAATTTAGGCTGGCCCTGAACCCGCTATGTAGCACAGGCTGGCCTTGAACCTGTGGCAAGCCTCCTGCCTCAGCCTCCCAAGTATGACCTCTGTACACTATTTTCTTCTCTTTTAGCTTGTGTACTGGGAGACACTTTTGACCCATTATAGCTAAAAAATGTATGTGAGAGAAATGGTGCTAAATCTGCCCCCCAAAAAAGGAAAAATATCTGAATGTAAAAAATGGGACTTTGCAGGGTCTGAGGGCAGCTTTGAGGAAATGAGTAAAGATCAGCAGGCAGTTAGGGAATGGAGTGGGACACTGTGGTACCGTGACCTACCTGTGTCACCATGGAGAGAACTGATGAACAGCTGAATGGTGGAGAGCTGGAAGAAATGGTGTTCATTTCAGAGAGGGTATAAAATTTGAAGTAAAATCTGCCACCTACAGCACTAGAACAGCATTTCAAAAGGAACTACAGAGTTCATGTTCCTACCACCCGAAATATATTCCCTGTGCTAGTGCAAAAGGCCAAGTTAATTTGAGACATATTGGGACACTTTGCCGTCATCAACTGACACATAGATTTCTAACGTAATAAAACTGATGGCTGTGATCTGTCTATTGAATCATCTTAATAGTGATGGGAAACTAAACCAGTAGAACAAATAAGCTGGATGAAAGTCTTGGAAATCAACTCATATGTGCCTCTAAAACATATGGGGAAGATATCTGAAAACCAATGCCATGTAATATATTGAAGAAATTGGACCCCATAGTGCTGCCCCTAAAAAAGCTACCCTAGTCTTCAGTAGCCAGCATAGGAGCAATGAATCCTTTCCACCTGGGTTCCTAAGAAAGAAAGTCAAAGGTCAACGGCACTCCCAAATTGGGCTTTTCACAGGTAGCAGAAGAGCATTTCTTTTCCACAGTTTATGGAAACACTTACTTGCTTCCTTAGCTTAGGGTTGCTGCCACTAGTTGAAAATTGGAACCACTTGTAGTTTGGAGCATGCCAAGGCAGAGACACAAATGATTTCAACATGGCTTTGAAGGCAGAGTGAATTGTGGGTGCCTTCTGTGGTTTCAGACAGAAACACTTCTTCTCCAGTTTGGGGTCAGGTTGACAGTATGAGCTGGTGTGGGGACTGTGGCTGAGGAGGAGGAGGATCAGATCATGAGGCTACTCCAGACAGAAAGCAACTTCAAGGGGACAATGCCAGGTTTTTTAAAAGCAGATATCCCACCTCCCCCTGTAACACGCTCAGGGTGGTTGAAGTTCACAGTCAAAGAGAGCTCGTTTTGAAAAATGTAAGAGAAAAGGCAGTGGAGAAATTTTTCACCAGCAGAGCAACTCCCAGATTGAAAAGACTGACTGCATGGAGTCAGTGAAGTCATCATGGATGAATGGGAAGAAGGAGAACAATATGGCTAATGTGACAGGGGAACTGTCATGAAATAAAGGGTGAGCGAGGATCTGTGTCCGACCCGTGCCCAATAAAGAATGAGAACTTAGAAACTGGCTGGATTTTATTTTGAAATATTATTTCTACCTCCTTATACATAAGTAGAAAAGCCAGAGGCCAGTGGAAAAGTTTCGCATTAACTTTCAAGAAGTAATTGGGGCTAGGGATTTAGCTCAGTGGCACGGCACCTGCCTGGCAAGTACAACGTTGTCAGTTCAATTCCCGGTACTGCAAAAAACCAAAAAAAAAAAAGAAAGAAAGAAGAAGGGATTGATGCTTGGCATGGTGGTGCACACCTGTAATCCCAGCACTTGGGAGGCTGAAGCAGGAGGATCATTTCAAGTTCAAGACCAGTCTAAGCTACAAAGTGAGTTCAAGGCCAGCCTGAACTGCATAGTGAGACCCTACCTCAAAAAGGCAAAAAAAAAAAAAGTGATTGAATGTCCTTTTTTTGTTTTGTTTTGTTTTGTTTTGTTTTGTTTTGTTTTGTTTTGAGGAAGGGTCTTCATATGTAGTCTAGGCTGGCTTTGAACTCACTATGTAGTCCAGACTGGCCTCAAACTCACAGCAATCCTCCTTCCTTAGCCTCCCAGGTATTGGGATTACAGGCATGCACCACCGTGAATGTCTTTGTGTTTAAAGTTTTTTTTTCTTTGAGACAGTTTTACCCAGTCCAGGCTGACCCTGAACTCAAGATCCTCCATCCTCAGACTTCCAAGTGCCGACACACCCAGCTCAAAATATATTTTGTTAGAAAAGCATGGGCAACTTCATCAGTCATCAATATTTTACTGTTACTGCATGACTTCATAGGAGATAATGATTTAGTTTTTGTTTTTGTCTTGGTACCAGGAGTTGAACCCAGGGCCTTGCACCTGCCAGGCAAGTGAATTTAGTTTAACTTTGAATTAAATTAATGTTATGTAAGAAATACCCAAAAGCCAAGTTATATTTATTTCTCCCTGTTTGTTGCTTTTCAGTTGATCAGGTATGGTTACCTAGAAATTAAATTGATGCCATAAATCTTCATGAAAAGAAAAATTATATTATTTTATAGACACTTGATATCTTAGTTTTCTCTCATTGATGACACAAAATACCCAACACCCAAAGTTAAAGGGGGAGAGGTTTACGTGGCTTACAGTTTACAGGGGTTTTAGTCCATAACTGGCTGACTCCAAGGCAGAGTGTCATGGCAGGCAAGCATTGGCAGGGGAGAAAGAGTTCATAGTGGGCAGAAGGTAGCAAAGCAACAAGGGACAATCACAGCACTTTCTATCCCTTATACTTTCCCTAGGTTACTAAGGGTGAGTAGCACTCACACCCTTAATCCTAGTGCCCTTGATCCTAGCGTTGAACCCTGAATCAATTTCAGCTTCACACACTATAGAGCCAGCCCCACCTATGACCACATGAGGCTTTGGGGGGAACATTTTGTTTGGTATTTTCTCTGTTTCCATTCTTCTGCAACCATGTACAGTGTTTTTGCTGGACATGTGACTAACTTTTGTGTGCGTTTTATAATACAACACAGAAATAGTGTCCCAGTTGATTCAAGTGTGGTATGCAGAACAAAGTATTTTTAGTGATTAACTGATTGATTGATTGATTGATTGATCGAGATAAGATCTCTCTACGCAGTTCAGGCTGGCCTTCAACTCCAGGTGATCCTCTTGCTTCAGCCTCCTGACTGCTGGGGTGTCTTGGTTACTTTTCTCTCATTGCTGAGACAAAATACCCAATGCGGAAGATAGCAAAGCAACAAGAGCAAAGGGGGGATGGCAGCTGAACAGCAATGCAGCCAGAGCAAAAGGGAGAAATGGCGGCAAGTAGCCTCTTTCCCTGTAAACAGGCTACCCCCACCTAAGGGGCGTGTAGCTCTCCCATAATCTCCATGCCCTCCTCTTCCACAGGCTGAGGATGTATACAAAGTAAGCACCCTGGCTTCCTGCTGAGTCACTTAGCCAAACCTCTAGACTCCCCAAGTTGACACAATGTATCAACCATAACACTCCACCCCTTGTCAACTTGGCAACCAGATACATTTCTTTAAACCAGTTTCCAGGTACAAAGACATTATATTCCATTAGAACCATAACATTTCACCCCCTAAAGACTCATGCACATCCCTTTATGCAAAAGGCATTTAGTCCATCTACAAGAGTTGCCAAAGTCCTAACAGTTGCAGCATTGCTGAAGAGTCCAAGTCCTAAGTCTCCTCCAAGATGAAGGCAAACTCTTAGCTGTGACCCCACTATACAACTGAAAAGTTAAACACTTCCAACATTCAATAGCACAAAATAAGCAGTACCATTCCAAAAGGTACAAACAGGGGGATACAGAGCATTGGGACCAAAGCAAGTCCAAAATCCAGCAGGGATAACATTATGTCCTCTAATTCCACATGCAGCATCTGACTAGAATCTCCCAGACAGAACAGCCGAAGGTGCTCTAGCAGTTCTCTTTCAGGCGACAACTTCAAACCTTTCCAAACACTTCCCACAAGCCACTTCCAAAGGCTCTTGAACCACATGATCACTTATAGCCACAGCAACAACCCCACTCCTCTGGTACCAAATTCGGTCTTGGTTACTTTTCTCTCATTGCTGAGACAAAATACCCAGTGCCCAAAATGAAGGAAGGAAAGGTTTGTTTAGCTTACAGTTTGTGGAGGTTTCAGTCCACGCTTGGCTGGCTCCGAGGCAGAAGACAGCAAAGCAACAAGAGCAAAGCGGGGAATGGCAGCTGAACAGCAAAGCAACCAGAGCAAAAGGGAGGAATGTCTGCAAGCAGCTTCTTTCCCTCCCTTACATTGTAAACAGGCTACCCCCACCTAAGGGGCGTGTAGCTCTACCATAATCTCCATGCCCTCCTCTTTCACAGGCTCAGGATGTCTACAAAGTAAGCACCCTGGCTTCCTGCTGAGTCACTTAGCCAAACCTCTAGACTCCCGAAGTTGACACAATGTATCAACCATAACATGGGGTTATAGGCATGCACAATCATGCCCAGCTTTGTTTGTTTTGTTTTGTTGTTTTTTTTGAGACAAGGTCTGATTTTGTAGTCAGGCTGGCCTCGATCTTATGGTGATTCTCCTGCCTCAGCCTCCCAAGCTCTGGAATCATAGGTGTGCACTACCACACCTGGCCTGTTATTGTTCTTTTTAAACAAAATATATAAATCCTCTTTTGTGCCACAATGAATAGGAGCCACCATGAATAATTTAATGTGCATTCTTCTATATCCTTTCCATGGAAAAAAATTATATATCTATATCTATCTATATATATGATTTTATATATTCTATAGATGAGAGAGTTCCTTTTGTCATTATTTATCCTCTTGCCTCAGTCTCCCAAGTGCTAAGATTACAGGCGTGGACCACGGCGCCCACCTAGTATATATTTATTGAATGAAACAATGAAATGTTCTGTAATTAAAAATGGTTGAATATAATAAAAATCACTTAATTGTATACTTTGACTGCATCAGTTGTCTGGCTTGTGAATTATATCTCAAAAGACTACTTTATTTTTCTTTTTCAAAATTCTACTGGCTCCAAGGCAGGGTGGCATGGCAGACAAGAATCACAGAGGACAAACAATTCATGGCAGGCAGAAGATAGCAAAACAAGCAAAGGACCTTAGCAGCTTCTTTCTGCCCCATTTCATACTCTATCTAAGCTACTGGGCTTAGGGCAATGCCAAACCAGTCAGTGGACTGATTTAATAATCACACAACCTTAATCCCAGCATCACACACTTTAGATCCAGCCACTTCTGAAAAAGCCCCAGCTATGACTGCATGAGGCTTTCGGGGGACATCTAGACACAAGCCATAACAGTATCTGTCACCCTTTATTTCATGATAATCTCCCTGTCATGTTAGCCATATCGTTCTCCTGTCCGCTCATACACGATGACTTCACTCTGAGACTCCATGCAGTCAATCTTTTCAATCTGGGAGTTGCTCTGATGGTGAAAATTTCTCCACTGCCTTTTCTGTTACATTTTCCAAAATGAATTCTCTTTGATTCTGATCATTATAATGAATCACAGAATAAAATTTAATGTTTTCTTCTTTCTCTAGGATACATTGTTTTTAAATTTAGCAGTGCTTGAATTTTATTATAGTCGTGAATAATTTCCAGAACACAACTCATTATTTTGAAGGATGTGAAGATGAATATCATTGTCTTATAGCTGACAGGCACCCTTAGCGATTAAGTTTTACAGGTTTCTGGTGTAGATAAGTGGTGAGAGCCATTTGGGTTTTCTCTCATTTTAAGTAGATACAGTGGGGGGAGAGGCAGCAAGGAGGCTATCTCCTATAATAGCCAAGGATCTATTTTTAATACTTTTTCTGTTGCCTGAAACATAAAGATTTTTCCATAAAAAATCTGGAAGTGTGAAACATTTGAGATTCAGCAATTTAAAATTATTGTATAGGAGAAAAATGATTTAATCATCATTCACCCAGGAAATAATTCTCACTTTGAGGTTTATGTGTAAATGCTATCGTAGAAGTGCATAGAAGGGCAGTTGTAGAAGTGCTGACAATTGTGAATGTTTCTTCTGTCCTATGCACCCTGCTTCCCAGAAGGCTCTGATCTCTGCTTCTCCTATACAGAAATATTATTTCTAACCCAGAAAAGTGAATCTTAACCTTTTCTGCATTATGAACTGTAT